TGCTACTAAGGTTTTTGTTAGATAGTCTATAACTCCTTGGTAGAGCATTATCACCCTAAGTGTTGTAAATTTATTTCACTTCATTAAACCCAGGTGCACAACACATACATTTTATATGTAGTTTTAGGCAAATGTAAAATATGAAAATCCCTGTGGCTTTTTCAAACATCCTTAGTGGTTTTTATCCTCCCTCTCTGCCCACTTAAAACTTCCCCCTTTTTTCATTTCCCCTTTCATATGACCTGTCACCCTTTATCCCAAGATGATGCAGTAATATATGTGACTATCATGTTAGGAGTTTTCACGTTTTACAATTATTTTGTTGATGTATAATTATTTTTATCTACCCTCCCCATACATATTTCACATTGACAAGGAAAAAAAACATGCAACCACTGTTTTGGCATTATTTTTTAAGGATTTGATTTGTATTAGGGATTGAGTCTATTTCTTAGTATGTTTTGGATAAGTTCTTGGCTTTGTGATTTTTTTTTCTTTTTAAGCTCTGTCCTTTCCTATGTAGCTTGGCATCTGTTTATTTACAGTTACAGTTTTTATGATCCACTTCCTTCTCGGTTTATCCCTTCTTATGTTTCTTTCTTTCTCTTCTGAACATAGTATTCTCTGGTTGGTTGTAAACTCCAAGAAATAAATATCCCTATTTTGAGGAAATGTTCCCTGGATCAGTTTTGTAGCTCTTCCCCCAACCAGAACACAGCAGATTGCTGTTGAATTTTGAATGTCACCAACAGACAGATGATAATAGCTCAAGATGGATAATGAAATGCTTGAAACACAGATGGGCCCATAAATCAATTTTCTTTTTCTTAGGACTTCCTTCTGACCAAAGAATCAATGTAATTAAAACTGGTTTCAGACCAATATCGTTTGAATGGTATCTCTATGGCCCTATTGACTGCTCTATTTATTGGATGCTTGAAGGATGCTCTACTTTGCTCTGTCACCTAGTCTGGGAAAGGCTACATTGAAGCGTTTACTAACAGTTATTTGGGGGTTGTTGTTGTTTGGGGTGTGTGTGTGAATGTGTGTTTGTGATGTTGGGCAGGGTTGGGGGGGCAAGTGCCTATGCAGATGTGTGTGCATGTGGAAGCAAAAGGATCTACCCACTTTGCTTTTTGAGGCAGGGTCTCTTATTGGTCTGGAGTTTACCAAATAGGCTAGAGAGGTTTCCCTGTAGGACCACCTGACTCCTCCTCCCTAGCCAAGGTGGCTACCCATCACCTCCCTAGCCATGGTGGCTACCCACCATCTGTCTAGCCAAGATGGCTACCCATCACCTCCCTAGTCAAGGTTGCTACCCACCATGCTTTTAGGGATTGAAGTCAGATCCTCATGATTGCATGACAAGCACTTTACTTCCAGACCTATCTCTTTAGGTCCTGTTGTTTGTGGGTTGAGGTGTCACTATATAGCTTAGACCAGCCTAGAACTCAAGATCATCTGCTTTACCTCCCCAGGATTGGGATTATAGGTGTACACCACCACACTCTGCAAAACCCACTTATTTGAAAAGTAAATCTTCCACAGACAGTACTCAGTCGATGATCTCTTAGGCACCCAAGAATGTCATGTGCATCATTCATGTTATCGGATGAGTTACAGTTCCAATTTAAAAAATTACATGAACTTGATGGTAATGGTTTGGAGATACCAGGAAGAGTTAAGCTCAACAGTGTACGGAGTCAATTAGAAAAAGGCTGATGGTGTTCTTTTTTGTTTTATTACAACAGAATCAGGGAAGGTTACAGGTGATAGTAACCTATGGATTTCTCTTTTCAGATAACAGGCCTCTTTCTGCTTTGTCTCCAGTGTCAGTCCCTGGCCAAGATGATGATGATAACCGTCACTCAATGTACACCCCAGACGGCTACTCTACACTAGGAAGGCTTGATAGCTATCGGTCTACCGGGCAGTGCTCGGAAACCAGGGACTCCAGCTGTCAGACAGAAGATGTGAAAGTCATCCCACCATCAATGAGGAGGATCAGGGCCCACAAAGGGCTAGGCATCGCTGCCCAGATGAGCCACCTCCCCGGCTCCTCCGGCAACATGTCTGTGCTGAGCGACTCTGCTGGTGTCGTGTTCCCATCGCGCCTCAATAATGATGCTGATTTCCACAGTCTCCCACGGTCCGGTGCGAGAGCAAGCACCTATTCCCTGGAGGCAAGGATGGGTGCCCTGGGCTCTGCTGACAACATGGAAGACACTTTCCGCCACCAGGGGGGTAGCTCCCCAGGGCATGAAAACTTTGCACATGTAGGGGGCGCCCAGAGGTCTGGAATGCTCTCGAGGCCTAAATCCCAGCAACTGAGGTTCTCGGAGAGCGACAGCATAGCAAGTCCAGCGTGTGTGGTTTCGCCTCATGCAGCCTACTCCACCAGTGTCATTCCAAATGCCACACTACTGTCCTCTTCGGAGGTCATTGTTATTCACACTGCTCAGAGCATGGGACAGCTGGACAGCAGAATGCCTGGCTCATCCACATACTCGAAGATAAAGCCCAGAGACCGCCCCATGCCCAGATGTTCTCTGAAGGATGACCGTCAGTCCCCCAGTCACCGCTGGAATGAGAGTCAGATTACTCATTCACAGGCTTTAGCCTCCTCTGCCCCTAGTGCCACTGCACTGGTGTCCCTCTGTGATTCAGAGGTCCCTCTGAGCGCCTCGGCCAGCAGGGAGAATGGGTCTCAAGCCATACCCTACCACTGTAGAAACAGCCTGAGCTTTCCCGCCCACCTTCCAGAGGTGGATGGCAAGAGCGAGTCTAGTTACTCAGGGGGCAGGGGGCATGGCGGTTCTGAGCCCTGGGAGTGCAGAGCCTCCAGCAATGGGCGGGCATCCCCACTGAAGCCACACCTGGCAACACCGGGTTGCTCTACTCCCACGAGTAACATGAGCAGTTGCAGCTTGGACCAAACATCTGTCAAGGAGGATGCCAGGTCCCTGTATTCAGAGGACCACGATGGCTACTATATAACCACTCACAGTGATTCTGGACACGAGACTGGGAACTTGTACAACATCAGTGATGGCTTTGGGAATCCCAGGCACAGCATGGTCAATGTTTTTGATGGAAGGGCTCAGAGAAGCCAAGGGGATCAGGCCAATCACCAGGATAAATCCCTTTCCAGAAACTTCTCTCTGAAGAAAGCAAAGAAACCACCCCTGCCACCCTCCCGGACGGACTCCCTTCGAAGGGTTCCCAAGAAGAACAGCCCGTCCAACGGGCAGGTGCTCAATGAGAGCCTGATTGCCTCACTCCAGCACTCGCTGAAGCAAAGCCTCCCTGGCAAGGGCAGCAGCTCCCCTTCCCAGAGCCCCTGCAGTGACTTTGAGGAACCCTGGCTCCCTCGCTCCAGAAGCCAGAGCATTGTCAGTGAGGGCAGCAGCATGACCTCCACCACCACTCCCAACGTGTACTCCCTGTGTGGGGTCACTCCATCGCAGAGTGACACAAGCAGCGTCAAGTCAGAATACACAGACCCTTGGGGCTACTACATTGACTACACCAGCTTGCAGGAAGATCCAGGGAACCCCACAGGGGGCTGCTCGGCCAGCAGGGAGGCGCCAACTGGAAATGGGCCAGTCTGCCATATCCAAGAAGGGTCCAGAGTCCCAATGCCCCAAGTGCCTGGTGACTCAGTGAAACCAAAGATCACATCACCGGAGAAGTCGCAGAGAGTGACCTCTCCATCCAGTGGGTACTCCAGCCAGTCTAATACGCCCACAGCCCTCACCCCTGTGCCTGTATTTTTAAAATCCATGTCACCAGCAAATGGGAAGGGGAAGGCCAAGCCCAAGGTACCAGAAAGGAAGTCGTCTCTAATCTCCTCAGTGTCCATCTCCTCCTCGTCCACGTCCCTCTCTTCTAATACTTCTACAGAAGGAAGTGGCACCCTGAAGAAATTGGATTCTGCCCTGGCCTCGCCCCTTGCTCCTCCCCCTCCCCTCCCCCCCTCTGCCTCCCCCGTGTCTGGCAGACAGGTCCTCCTCTCTCCCACCACCTCCTCCTCCAGCAGATTGCTGCGAGGGCTCTCCCCTGCCTCCCTCTCCCGTGTTTCCCCCGCCACCACCAGAAGCCCTTGTTTCCTTCTGCTCCCCCAGTGACAGGTGCCTTTCTCCTCCCCCCCACAGCTCTTAGCCCCTCCCTTCCTGGACCCTCACCTCCCTTGCCAGCACCTCCATTAGAACCCCCTCCAGCTCCTCCCCTGGACCCCAACTTCATGAAAGACAACAGGCCTTTTTTCAAAACCTCTAGGCAGTCCGAGTCCTCCAGGGAGGCCCTCAGGCAGCCTGCCAACAAGGAGGAGGGTTGCCGACCCCCCATGCCCCTGATCACCACGGAGGCATTGCAGATGGTACAGTTGAGACCAGTGAAAAAGAACTCAGGCGCCGAGGCAGCCCTGTTTTCTGAACCATCAGCTCAGGAACAACGAACTCCGACTGCTCCACAGTATCACTTAAAGCCATCTGCTCTCCTCAAATCCCGAAATAGCATAAATGAAATGGAGAGTGAAAGCCAGCCTGCCTCTGTGACGAGCTCGCCTGCCAAGAGCCAGAGTCAGGGTGACCATGACAGTGCAGCCGAGCCTGGCGGCCTTCTGAGCCGCAGTGATGGAGCTCCGTGTCCGGGGCCCAGCCTCAGGACCACTCTGCTCCCAGACTCTTCACCCAGCAGGAAGCCACCCCCCATCTCCAAGAAGCCCAAACTGTTCCTGGTGGTACCACCTCCGCAGAGAGATTTCACAGCGGAGCCCACAGAGAACGGGAGCGAAGCATTCCCAGGCGTGCCCAGCCCTTCCAGGGCAGAGGAGGAGGCTGTACACAGCCAAGAGGAGAAACCCAGCCCAGCATCCCGAGCTGGTTCTCATGCTACGGCCCCCACCCCAGGCAGTCCGGTTCTGGGAAGAGGAGCTGCAGGGTCCTTGTCCCCTGGCTGCCTGGAGACCAATGCCCCCATGGTCCAGCCCAGTGACTCACCGGGCCCCACACAGGAAGAAGAGTCAGCCGAGAGCAGCGTGGATGGTGAGGGCAATGCGGAGAGCTGCCTGTCTCAACAGGGCAGGGAAGGTAAGCCTGGCTGCTCTCGCTTGTACTCCTCTGATGCTCTGGAGCTGAGCCAAACAGGGCTGCCGAACACTCCACGCAAGCAGGCAGGCGAAGCAGCCCAGACTTAGGCGAGGGCCGGCAGCGTGTGGGCTTCTGACACCTCATTACCCAAGCTGCTTCGTGAAAATTTTAAAAACTCTGGATCCAAGAGAAGAGAGGGAAAAGGTGTGTGTGTGTGTGTGTGTGTGTGTGTGTGTGTGTGTGTGTGTGTGTGTGTGTGTGTGTGTGGTGTGTATGCGTGCCCGTGCCAGCGCAGCAGGCTGGATATTCAGCAGCAGGGGTAATCTCCTTTCAGAAGAGCTACAAAGAAATGTGCTAACAACATTTAAGAGCAACTTCGTCCCAAGTCTGTAGCAGGAAACACTGAGCCCCGACTATCGGTGTTGTATCTCCGTCTCTCTGTAAAGACTCATCCTGCAGACCCACCCGCTTCCCCGTGGCTCTCACTTTGTCAGGAATGTTTCAGAGCAGGGCAGGGCCAAGGACTGAAGTGCTAGTCACTCACAGCATCTCGTGTTTGCCTGTTTTTCTTCTCTCTAGCTGGGCTGCTGGAACCCAATGCAGCTTCTTCCTCAGACTCCCGGGACTTCTCTAAGGAAGATGGGTGTGATGACGTCATGACCCCCACTAGACCCATGACCACAGAGGACCTGTTTGCAGCCATTCACAGGTACCCCAAGCTCCTTTGTGATACTTTAGTATGCGTTCTAATTTCTTCTTTGGGCGCACCTCTGTCATCTTGAGGTGTCTTCTGTCAACCAGGCATGGCTTCTTCAACTTTACTCATTTTAAAATCTTTCTTATACTTTAATTTCTCTCTAAGTCTGATTTCTGATTTACTTTGTTCCATTGATTTCCATGATGACATTGAGGACAAAGTGTGGTACCTCCTCATTGACACAGCTGTGGCTGGCAAGACACCTAGTGTGTCAGTCATGTGACCCAGTGTTTACAAGATTTGGATCCTGCCCTAGGGTGAGGAAGGCTGCCTTCTGTGGACTTAGGATACATAGACTAGCCCTACAGAGCCATCTTACTAAGAATGCTTTAGTTGATTTTTTTTATCATTTTGTTTGTTTTTTAGAAAACCCGTAATTTTATACTGCTTTTTTTTTTGCTCTTTCAATGTTTCATCAAGAGTATATGTTTTATTTTCTTTTTGTCCTCCAATTACTCCCAAATCTGCCCCAGCCTCTTCAAATCCCCCTCTCACCCCTCCTGTCTGTCTCTCTCTCTCAAAAAAATTCTTTTTCTTTCAAAGCCACTAGAAACCATGGAGTCCAATTTGTGTCGACCAGCTAGCTACCCTGGAGCTGCCCTGGAGTGTGGTTGTTGATATACCCAGTGTGACTTTTCCTCTGGAAGAAGCTATCACTTGTGAATAGCTTCTTGATGAGGGGTGTGACTTTGTGCCCAGCTTCCCTCTTTTGTGCTGGGACTTTGTCTAGCTTTTTTATATAGACTGTGAGTTCATTTGTAGGTCTGTCGCCTTGTGTCTGGAAAATGCTATTTCCTTAAAGACGTCCACCACATCTAGATCTAACAGCCTTTCCACTTGCTTCTTCCACATCTCAGAGCTTTGCTGGTCCTGAGACAGGGTTGAGCACTCCAACGTCTCTAATGGTTCTTTTGCAGGAGCAAAAAAAAAAAAAAAAGGACTTTGTTACCGTATACCCCTAGCACCACCTGCTGGCTTTTTAAAGAAGTACAGTCAGTAGGTTTTTCAAAGGAACTTATTTGTTACCTGTGTTTAGATGATTACCCTTGAGAGTAACTGATTGCACACTGCAGCCTTGTTTATTACATTGCTTGGCTGTGTACAACCGAGTCTCTCCACAGTGGCATCACAGTAGAAAACGATAAGATTCAGATATGTACAAACATTTTAACGCTGTATAAAGAAATGTTCTTGCTGCTTAGGTTTCCTTACTACCAGGTATTCTGATAACTCCTGTGAATATTTCTATGCTGTCAAGACTTCGTTTTGACCTGAGTGATGGCCCCTTATTTCCTTCTGAGACCAAGTACCCCATAGAATCATTTGATTCTCTGTATAGATAACCCGTGCCAGTACAGCTCCCGGATGGGTGGAAGAAAGTTCCTCCCTTCACTAGAACGCTGTGCAACACAGAATCATCTAATGTGGGGAAATGAACTGACCAAGTTGAGTTGACAAAGAATTATGCGCATCTTGTCTTCGTTTAGTTCCTGTCTCCCAACTGTCGTATTGGTCTAACAGACCCTAAAGACCAGCCCCTTTTCTGTTGCTTCTTTGGTTTCTTTGATATCATTAGAAATAAAAAGGGAGCTAGCTACCCGGTTCTTTCTCAAAACTGGGAAATGAGAAATGCATCTCTGGAAAGCAAATTAAGTGATGCTTGTAGAGGTTTACGCAGATGTTTCTAACTATGGCCATGTTGGACACATAATAAGTATTTTCTGAATTAAATGAAACCAATTGGAATTTAACTGTTAGGAAATTCTTCTGAGACCTAATGTCTTTCATTTAGGTTGGAATGTACTGAGTTTCTAAATATACAGGAATCTGTATTTATAATCACAAGCCACAGGGATGTGTGTTGCCAAGTTGCTGTGTGTACTAAATACTTGGTCTCAAGGAAATCCAACTGTTGTGGAGCCAAATCACTGAAGATTTTTTTCCTAAAAATATTCCAGAGGTCTCTTCTATATTTTATCTTGGCAGCCTTCAGAAGGCACTGGAGAATGTGGTTTCTGCTACAGGGACAGTGCCATCTATTACAAATATAGAAATCAGCCAGTTTGTAACATTCCCTGCACACATGGGAGAATTACAGGCCAAGCTTAGGAGTGGATCGAAAAGACAGAAATCAGTTATATGCTAATTTCTGTTGTCAGCATTAATACCAAATTAGCAGATGTAATCAAAGTCCATCTGAAACCTGGGACTCTTAGAATGTTACGTTCACAACCTTCAGCACCTAAATTCATAATGTCACATAAAGACTATCCAAGTTGAAGCACAACTTTCAAGTGTTATCATGCAAATTAACTCCCTTCAGATTTAAAGCCAGATGGAAAGTGTAGAACAGCAGTTGAGGTGTGAAATTTTTATATTTATTGAAGCAATTAGACTTTAAGCCAGTGTTAACTATTTAATTGCCTGCTAGAGCCATCATCTTTAGAAATGCACGCACGCGCACACACACACACACACACACACACACACACACACACACACACAGAGAGACAGACAGAGAGAGAGGATATGCAGAGACATCAGAAATTTAAATTTAACTCATTTTGTTGGAGGCAGCTGCTCCCTGAGAAACAACCGGGTTTTTTGTTTTTGTTTTTGTTTTGTTTTTGTAAACCTTGCCATCTCTTTTAGTTCAATATCTACAATTAAAGGCTCTAAATTCCAGAGAGTATGGTTGTGACATTTTGTGCCTTAGCACACTCTATTTAAAAGCAAATCAAAACATAATAGCACCGGTTAGTGTCTGGAAGACTGGGAAGACAGAGTTGCTCTGGAGGTAATCAGTATAAATGATTGCATGGCAAGAAGGTGCATCAAGACCAAGTTGTGCTGAGTACGTCTGTGTTTGTGGGGGGGTCATTGTCTAGATTCCCTTTTTAATACACAACTAGATGAGACTCCTTCTAAGTTCTATTCCAGCTCCATAAATTTGAAACTGTTCTTTCATTCATTGCCCTTCCATTGGGCAGAACTGTTAAATGAAGGTACTTTAGGCACATTCTGCTGCTATGGGGGGCAAGGGACTTCTGGTGCCCTGACTTCGATAGTAAATAATATCAGAGAAGCTCTTGGGCTCATCTTGAATGTTTGATGTGTGTGTGTGTGTATGTGTGTGTGTGTGTGTGTGTGTGTGTCTGTCTGTCTGTCTGTTCAGTAAGGTGACAGGAAGATGGCAGGTGATTGCAGCAGGGGTGGCTGAGGACTGACGTTTATCTCAACTTTGTTTTTAATTTAGATCTAAAAGAAAAGTCCTTGGCCGCAAAGACTCAGAAGACGATCACACCCGAAATCACTCTCCCTCCCCGCCAGTGACACCCACGGGTGCTGCACCTAGCCTGGCCTCTCCAAAGCAAGTAGGGTCCATTCAGAGAAGCATGAAAAAGAGTGCTACCAGCAGTGACAACTTCAAAGCTCTACTGCTAAAGAAAGGCAGTCGCTCGGACACCAGTGCTCGCATGTCGGCAGCAGAGATGCTCAAGTCCACGGACCCTCGATTCCAGAGATCCAGGTCGGAGCCTTCACCAGACGTCCCGGACAGCCCGTCCAGCTGCTCCCCCAACAAGAACAGGAGGGCCCAGGAGGAGTGGGCCAAGAACGAAGGCCTGATGCCTCGGAGTCTGTCCTTTTCAGGCCCACGGTACAGCCGTAGCCGGACGCCACCCTCTGCGGCCAGCAGCAGGTACAGCATGCGGAACCGCATCCAGAGCAGCCCGATGACTGTCATCTCCGAGGGAGAGGGAGAGCCTGTGGAGCCAGCGGACAACAAAACGCACAGGGCCCTGGATGCTGCCAGGGGGTGCTCTCTGGACAGGCTAGAGGGGAAGAAGGTGGACCCAGACAGCCTGCCGTGTAGGGAGGAGCCCACTTCTGTGGATGGGATGGGAAGGGCAGAGGGCAGAGGTCTCTTGGAGCACTGTGCGGGTAGTGAAGAGTTAGGGTCAGAACCTGCCTCTCTTGAGTGAGGGTGGAGGGAAGTGCATCACTCGGAAGTCTATGTGGCCTTTTCCTGGCTTGTGGGGACCCCACTCAGCATCGGTGTTGGGGAGGTCTCAACCTTGCCGGTCACTTAGGACTCACTCGCCATGTGGCTTAAAAGCAAGTAGAAGCTTCAACTTCTGAAAGTGCTTCCTGGGGAAGATTTTTGTTTGTTGGTTTTTCCCAAAAATGCCAGGTGTGTGTATATGTGTGCATTCTGGACACTTCATTCTGACACATACACACACTAACATTGTGTACAGAAATGGAAGTCAAGGTAGATAGACT